AAAAAAAAAAATCTGTAGCCTAATATGAGTATGATTTTAATGTCCTCTTTTGGCTTCTTGCCTTCAAGGCCACCCAAGAAATTTCAAGATGCCACTGTTGGTCATTATGATGTAACTCAGGATTTAATTTTCAGCCTGTTTCCTTTTAGTCTGCCTGTACCAGTCCACAACCCCCATTCAGGCTTTTTTTCCTAGTGATAAACAGTTCAGGGCTGCCTGTGGCCGTTTTGCAATGTTTTGCACTGCCCTTTGGTTTTAACTGATAACTTCCTTTAAATTTTGAGGAGATCTGTGCGCATGCGTAGTAGAACCCTCCGGCAGGGTTATACCACTTGCTCAGGCACCCCCTCTAGTCACCAGAATGGAGGTGTGCAGACAACGAGAGATCAATGAACAGATACAAAAAAAAAAAAAGAATATCCATACCTTTGTCTCTGCGGTTCTGTCAGGCGTCTGTGGCTGCTCTGATTCTTCCCCTTTTCGGTCTCGCCCAAGATGGACATTCTGGGAGCAGTTGAGTGCTTTGGATTAGAAAGCACTGGATTTCTTGCTTCTGCTACAAATTCCACTGTCTGTAAGCCTTTCAACTTTCTAAATATTCCTTTATATGTGGTTCAGAGTTCTGGGACGAATCCCTGAACCTGCTTGTTCCGGTATTCTGTTTTGTTGCTGATGGAGTTCCTCACTATATGTCTCCCCTCTCCGCCATCTTATTTGCTCTCCTTCCCTAACCTCTTTAAGTTGATGTTGTACTGGGCGTAAACTTTATAAATGAAATGATTATAGTACTTGATATATAAAACACTTCAAAAATATTCATTGCAAGGAATGAGGTAAAGTATATATTAGAAGTAAAAACATATTTTATTATTAAGTTGGCTGCTTCATGTAATTTTATTGGAAAATTACGTTTCTGTGGATTAGATTATTTAAAAATGGTACTAAAACTATATAGCTGGATTCTACAATTTGGTATCAAATGATTAATGTCTGACCCTTATAATGTCCTTGCTGTAGTCTTGTGACCAGTTAATTTAAGCAGGGGGGAAAAAATTCCTAAAAATGACCTGGTCCTTACAAAATATTTCAAAACATTTATACTTGAAAATGGGTTTTGTTTTGTTTTGTTTTTACAGTAGGATGAGTAGGGAGTTTTAAAATATAAGGATAGGCTTATATCAAATCTAATGCCAAGAACTATGGGTAGATCTTTGGTCCAAACTTGATCCCCTCAAGTCTGCTAGTGTGTGATGGAAAAACATTTTTCCTTAGTACTTTATTTCTACTTTTGAGTTCAGGACACTTAAATGAAGACATTGGAGGCATCTTTCTTGAATGTGTTTTATAATTAGCAGAACTGTATTTTGGAAATCTCTCCCGTTTTGAACACTGCATTTACTTTAAATTTCTGAAGGAGCAAAGCCTGGGTACACATACAATCAAAAAGCTCAGGCAATGGGAATTTTGCATTGTATTTTCTCAAAACTGTATTTTTTTTTACCTTAATATTTAATATTACTTTTACTAGGAAAATGTCAATAAAATTACTACAGGCAGAGACTTTTATTTTATGAAAAACAATTATGATTGGTATATAAATTGTATGAAGCAATGTATGATCATATTGACACCTAGATTTCCCTCCCACTAGATAGTAAGTTAGATACGTGCAGGAAGAGATATTCTAAGTAGATTATATGTGAATTATAATTTTCTAGTAAGGTGCTTCTGGTATCGTAGTGGTTATGAATCAGCCTGCTAATCTTATGGTCAGCAGTTCGAAACTACCAGCTGTTCCACAGGA